AAAGAGGGGAGAAAACTGGCATGCTGGCGCAAATGCCGACTGTTTGCCAAACAATATAGCCTCGAAGTGGTGACGTGACGTCACATGTTTTTATCTTTGCTACACCCGTACTGCTGTACCGCAGCACCGCTGCACGGTTGCTTGGGGATTGGGGAAACTGTCAACAACATCGGAGAATTTGAACAACATTGGAGGTATATTTTCAAATATCTTTTATAAGACAGCGCGCAATGAAATGGGAGGAACTAGAGTTTATTTTGTCATAAGGTAGTGTGAGTATGCATGCCACGAAGTATTTGCTAGTCTAGTACTGGAGAAATTAGCGTTTGGATGCGCATTGTGAGCCTTTAATATTAACAAGGTCGAATCACATATTGAGCTAATTATAATTAGGGTAATCAATATATTGAACTAATTACACACCGGTTTTAGGTAGGAGACACATGAAGTAATGTTCATAATACTTTGCTTCACAGCGATATCTCACAATTTTCAAATGATCTGCCAGAGCGAGGCCCACAGATGTCACTTGGCAATACAGGACTACTCAACCAGGACCCAGTGCATGACCGTGCTCCTCTTTATGGACAACTCCTTCACACCTACAAGTGGTCGGATAAGGTGCATTTCATGAACTTGGAGGGATCTTTCTGTAGATGTTTAGAATATAAATTATACATACATGTGTAGAATGGAGCATTCACGAATCACATATTTATGTGGTATTTTGGCTTATTCAGAAGACAATTGTCTTCCTAAATTATTGTGTCACAGTTGTCACCGAATGGTGCTGCTACTGTGTTCCCATCTCTTGTTGCTAAAATGTTATTATTGACTAACATTTTTTATTTTACATTCACATTTTATTTTGAAATATATTTGAATGAAAATAGCAATATCGTTTTGGTTGCTATACTAGAAAATTCACTATGGCGATGATCTGAGAAAATGTTAAGAGGGCCAGACACAATTTTGTGACTCGAGTATTGACACGGAAATGCTTTTTTTATGAGAAAGTTTTACATTTACTAGAAATAGTATACATTTTGGGTAAAATTATGCAGAAAAGATAGTTTTGTCCTAGTAACTTACATTTGTCAGGTGTATTTTTCATATTTCTACAAAATCCAGGGTGTGTGACGTCTGCCTCCTTACTTATCTCCATAAGAGGCTTCAGTTCCGTGTGTAAATATAATCCATTTCCAGCTGCACGAATATGCAGGAGTTGCTTCATCTATCTTAAGTTCCAATACACTGAAACGCTCCACAACTATGTCCAGCATTGCAACGAAGCGGCTGCGCAGGCCTGGTCCAACCATACATGCAGTGCCACAGCAGTAAGTGAACGTTGGTGCATTTCCATTAGCGTGAACAGGATTGAGTATGAGAATAAGTATTTAGAAGTGATGTAGATATCACTCACACACTTTATATTAGGTAAAACCAGGTATAGCTTGGCTCTTGTTGTTGTTATTGCATAAATTTTAGGAACCTACTTGGTATTATTTGAGGTTTGGGGAGAGGTGAATGAAGATTAGTCAACATGCAAGTATATTTTCCTGAAAATATTCGAGTAATGCATAGATATATAAACCTTCCTGAAAACCATAGTTAGTACACAAAGCATTGTAGCATTGATTCATGTTTATTAGTTCTTGTTTGAATACACAGGAATGTTTATAAAAAAAATCACTGTTTTGTTATTCAGTAATGTGGATAGTCTGGTCTCAAGTCTTGCACTTCTCTTTCCACAAGAGATGACAGTTCAACTTATTAGGCCTATGGGATCCTCTGCTATATTGAAGGTGTGAAAATGATAACCTGAGTGCGTGCATACATGTGTACACATGTATTTATATTATCATGAATGGTACCTTTGTGTACGTAACAGATGAATTGTGAACTACTTAGCCAATGTTTAGTGTGCAGGTGCCAAATACAGCACTGAAATGCCATGATTGAAATATAAGCCTTCTCCGGGTATGCAAGTTCTCCAGATATTCATTCGCCTTATGCCATTGCAAGTGCTAACTATATATGTATATATATTGTATTATAAAGCACTGGATACTTGCGAGTTGTTAACTGGCTTGCCATCAAAAACTAGTTCTGTCTTCTGCTGAATTTGAGATGATGGTGGGAGTGTTTGCTGTGTGTAGATCACGTTGGGTCAGACCCTGAGAGCTGTAGTCGTGCTTCGCAGCCTCATCATAGAGTGGGTCGTCGTGAAGGCCATCAGTGAGGATCACCACGTCGACGACCACAAGCCAGAGACCGTCTGGTCCAGCTCACGCTACAAGGTGTTTCAGAAGGTGAGCGTCACAGGACACAGTGCGTGTGACAGATAAACGCGTCGCGTGCCGAATTCAGTTGGATTGGAAACTGCACGCTACTGCAAATAATACCCTTGGCGCAACGTTGATTTGTTTGTAGTAGAGACTGTAGTAGAGACTTCCATTCAAAGTATTAGCCAGCGAGCCGTGCAGCCGTGATTTGCATGGTCAGTTTTGAAACTGCACGGCCAAAAATGTGTAGCACGGCCTAAAGACACACGTACAAAAAATTGCACTCCCAAATATTTTTTCTGCATGCCCACAATACTCATTCCTGGCTAATACCCTGCTTCCATTTGTAGGGCGTAGACAGCGAATATTTTAGGCAGCAGTTTTTCGTGGTTATCAGCGATTCACAAAGAAACATCAGATCTTTTTTTTTCATTAGTCGCCTAAATAGTAGATGCAATCTCCAGATCCTGGACTGTATCTGAAACGTTTGGTTTCATATAATCCTATATTATGTGGTGGTTTGTGGTCCACAGGTGACGGACCATGCTAACTCTGCTATGCTACATTTCTACTCACCAAACATGCCAGAGTTGGCAGTCAAGTCTTTCATGGTATGAACACGATTGGTATCAGGGGGATCTATCTATTTATTAACTTGAAGGGACAAGTTCAGCATTTAATAACAAAATGTTTATGAGACTAAATTAGAGGGGGTTAAAAAAAGATTTTAAACAGGTTGAATTGAATGCATTTTGGAAATGAATTTTCTACAACACATTCTTAACAGTAAAGGTAAAAAAAGGGAGACTCAAACCACCTCTGGTTTTAGGTGAATCATGTTCCAGCAATTGCTGCTATCTTACTACGCTTATTAAACGAGGTGGGTAGACGTGAAGCTTGGAACTTTTATTTTGGCTATCAGTATTGCAGCCCTTGTCCACCTCTATCATACTCCAACTAAGAGATATTGTGACTGTCCGCAGACATGGTTCAGAAGCTATAACACGTTGTTCAGTCATCCGTGCCAGCGATGCGGAAGGCTTCTCAGTGACAATCTGCCTCCGACATGGCGCGACTTCCGCAACACTACGGCCTACCACGAGAACTGCAGACAGTAAATGTGACCAACTAACAGGGTGCGAAATTAACGCGAGTCCAGAGTCAAATACTCCCTGATTTACTGTCGGACGCCCCGATTTGACATATGCAGGAGTCTGTGTTACTCCCTCAAAGTAATGTAAGTAACTAACTAGTTCGTTCCAGAGCAAGGCCTCGCGGAATTACCGTATTTTCCCAGCAAATGACCAAAGAAAAATTGGCAGATGTGCAAAATGCAACGTTATTGTTAATATCTGTAATTTTGAACTTCAGACTCTGGACTCCCTCTTTTTGAGGGTAGGGAGCCGGTTGGACTCCCTTGTTAAAAAGTTAATTTCTACACCTGAACTAATATAACTGATATTGCATATAGAAAATCACTTCAATCTTTGGTGTGTATAACATAATTTTTAATCATGCCCTGGCATTGAAACGATTTGTGAACGCTTTGAGAATGGCAGCTGTAAATAGGCATGTAAATAAATAAAGGAACAGTTTTCTGCTGATCATTTTTTTTATTACATTTTCATGTCCCTTTTTACAAATACAATGAATAGTTTAATAGTTTCCATCAAGTTTCAGTGATTGTAAGTTGTATTCAGTATGATTTAAAATACAATTTACTAATGAGCACAACCATGTAACAAGTAAATTTCATTTTTACAATATAATTTGCGCATGTATAAAGTCTAAGGAATGTACACACACTGTTCTTGCTGTTATGCTAAGCTCACACATTTCTAGCTGTGACAAAGGAAACGTATAAAAGGTGTCATTATTGCAGCAGTTTTCCTCACGACTTGTCTTCCCGGAAGTCTGTTGACGCATGCTTTCCGGGATGTTCGATGCGGGGTAGTCATGAGACCAAACACGGGAGTTTGTGTAAGAGTCGACACCATTGTCCGCGTAGCAAACACGTCACAGGTGACGGAATCCAATTCCACTTGACATTCACATCTTCCCAGTCATATTCGCAGGCAGGCGAGGCAAGTGCACGACAGCGCTATTGCGGTCACTCTTGCGTTATGGGTCCGTGAACCTCGAGACACTAACACGAGGCGGGAAATAGGATCACATTCTCACTAGGGGGCGGCACCTACTGCTGCGGCAACTTATCTATGAGCGTTGCAAGCTTAAAGTTCTCGGGGAACAGGTCGTGCGCACGCGGGTAGATGAGCTTGTACGACTGTTTGATCGTGACGTCTGCCACGCCCGCTACGTCCCCGATTTCTGCAACAAAAGCCATCGTTTGTCAGGAAAGTGTCAACTCGCAACCAGTCCCAAATATATGCAAGAATTACACACCCAAACGTAGCGATTTTATAGTGTAAGCAGAACACCTCTATAAATTCTGGGGGAATATTGAACGTTTTTGGACCTAAACATGAAGGAAAAAAATTCATGATAATGCTATTATAGTATTATATACTAAATATTTTCTAGTGACAACTATGTTCATATGAATGTGAAAAGTGCATATTTCCTAAGCATCAACATTTTGTATAAAAAAATACAAATATAACATTATTTCTACATACCTTTTTGTGTTCGCTTTTCCTCTGATGCTTGTGTTGCCATGTATATAGCAGCAGCCGCAACTGAGATTGGACTTCGCCTAAAATACGAAGCAATAAATTACTATAAATTTAGTAACTGCGGAGGAGTTAATGAGTGTGTGTAAATGAAGTTAATAACAGACACAGTATTATAAAATTCTGAGTAACACGATGCCATTACTTTGCATGTATTTTCACTTGATGGAATGTTTGACATTACGTATGCTTTTACATACCCTGGAACTAGATCAAATTCAACAGCTTTTTTCGCTATATGTGTAGCGGCCCTCTGAACGGCTGTCGGCAAACTCAGATTGGAACAGAATCGTGACTGAAATAACGAAGATTTCGTTGGTAACCGTAGTAACGTACAAAGCCTGTAAATTCTAATAATTGCCAAGTACAATCATTGGTCTAAATCCTGTGACAGTAATGTCATTTATAACAGTGACTTGCCACCCCAGCAGTACCTACAATATGGCACCAAACTATCAGTATGCATTCCAGACAGTATACAAACGACCATTGTTACACACGGAGTGATATATTATTGAGACAACAGAACTTTTGCTAGTCAAGTGTTCAGCGACTGGTGTGTGCAATACTTGCCATGAAATCCCCTGTAGTGATGATGTCAACGCTGGTCTCCAGTGCTTTAAGTATCAGCTTGAAACATCGACCGATTTCTTTTTTTGGAATCTTAGATACTGCACAGATCTCTGTCCGAAAGAAGATATAGTCATAGTAAGCGTCATAGTAAGTCATCGTCATAGTAAGATGACAACTTCTACCTAGCACAACACGTGTACTGCATGTACATTTGAAATATTTGGTGTCTGAATACTATACCTTCTTCACTTATTCGTACTACTATCTCATGTGTAATAATCACCACCCACTCTTCTGCAAGCTAAAGTAGTGAGTCTTAGTTACAAGCACAATAGCTATTCACCTTTAAATGTTCTTGGCACCCCCTCCTGTCTGCATGCTATGTACAAACATGCCGAGGCAATAGCATCATTGCTCCGCCCCTTTAACGTCTTCCCGTCGTGAACTTGCTTAAATAGTGTGTTTGACCTATCCTGAGAGAGAGTAATGACCAACTCGTGTATTTGCAGAAAACAAATTAGATCAATGACAAACGAGTCATTACGTAAATTATGGTATTGAATCATGTGTAAATAATAACCGATAAAAAATGGTATGATCACATGATTCTGACATGCAAACTGTCGCATTACAATTCGCAAGTAATGTGACTTATCTAAATAAGAGAAATGCTATAACTTTCACGTGAATGTCTGTTTTGATATGCAATTAGGAGACTGGGTTTGCGACAACATGTCAGCAAATTTTAGAACCATAATTACACGAAATAATTTTGAGAAAAATCTTTCGCTTGTTCTTTATATGATAACCATAAGTCTGTTATTAATAGTAAACTTGCTCACGGAGGATCACTGAAGATTTGGCTTAACTTAGTTTACTTACAACAATGGTTCTGGGTAAATTAATTCTGTCGGCCATATTGCTGATTTCCCTGAAAGCTGTCAGCAGGGCTCTGTCTGAACTGTTCATCTGTGAAAATAAACCTTATCAACATGCATCATATTGTCACCAGACCTATTTTACATGGTATTAATATTCTAACAGGAAATGAGCACATGGTGATGGTGAGGTACATGAGTAATTGATCCATTATAAAATACAATTTACACGGCATGAGGTGAATAGTGGGTTTTTAGGAGCAAAGAATAATTAGCAATGGATTGAACCAAACTCAACATATATCTGTCTATTTGCTTGGAATACATACAGTTCGTCTATTGGTCTGGTATCTTGGTTGTCCACTGTCATCAAACCCTGAACTACCTGTAGGACGCCCAATAACTGTTGAAAGATCACTGCCACTCAGCAGTGGGTTCTGGAAACAACCAAATTTCATACTATCAAGTAGTCAGCCTACTTTGTTGAGCAAAATAAATAATGGGCATGTATATCCAACCCGCCATAGTAACCATGCACTGGGACCCAAATCAAAACCCTAATGGAGTAGTGACCAGTGTCATTATGAAACTAATGACAAAAAGTATTAGTTGCATGGTCGTGAACAATGAACGTTTTCCTTCACACGCTTTTAGCAGTTGCAATGTTTATGCAACTGATAAGGAATTAACTTAGGTGCATATATATAAAATATCATCGACAGTGCAAACATATACAGGGGAGGTTAGTACAACAAAGTAGGAATACGGGGATGTGCATATTTTTATTGAGAATCAAAAACTTTCATTGATATCGGACATTCGTGAAATTGTGTGTCCTACCTTCTCACACCTTCGGTGCTCGCATTGGGGGATCGTGTTAGATATAGGTGCCTGTGCTATAGCCCTGCGGCAGCGATCCGCTGGCTATAGTACTAGAGCTATAGTAGACTAGTAGTAGTACTACTACTACAGTACTAGTACTAGTACTAGTAGTAGTAGTAGTAGTAGTAGTACTAGTACTAGTACTAGTAGTAGTAGTAGTAGTACTAGTACTAGTAGTAGTAGTAGTACTACTCTTTCATCTATGATCATCTACCTGCGTCAACCGACTCAACGGGGCACGTTGGAGAAAAGACGCATAACGCCAAAAATATGGTAAAAACATGAGACATCAGATACAAGTGAGTCATGTTTCTTATATATATGCTACAAATGGTACGTGTAGGCCAGAACAATGAACTCCAAAAGCCAAAGGTAAACTAAAAACAACACGACGAAAACATTACGGGTTAACAGGTAAACACAACGTCACTAGGTGGCATGCTACGAAAAACAATTGAGCATCAATTTGGACGCTCATCTCCTCTCCTCTCCGTCTGAAATTTGTTTGTTACTTGGTGAGTGTCCGTGTCATTAGCAATATGAGCAAAAATATACAGAGGGACCGACGTTAAAATAGCTTTGCCTCAATGCTGTCTACTGTTTTGATACGATAGTAATGATAACTCGGGGCCCTAACTAGGATTTTTTTTCTGTAGCCAAACAATTAGCCAGAATCAATTTTCATTACCACTAATGGCATTAGTACTATTACTATTACTATTAGTATTAGTATTACCAGGAGTAAGATAATATAGATCTATATTATCTTACTCCTGGTATTACTAGTATTACTATTACTAGTATTAGTGCTATTACTATTAGTATTAGTATTACTACTACTAGTAGTAGTACTAGTATTACTATTAGCCAATTTGGATTCCTGTTTTAGCCACATCTGTAGCCTAACATTTTATGAACACAAAAAGGCGATAAATAATTTTTCTTTTCTTTATTTTTTCACTAACTTTGGTTCAAGGATAGAGAACATGGGTCCCAATAAAACCAATGACAATGTCATTTAGTGATTTACATCAATATTAATTATTATATAAATATAATATTATATCAATATAATAGGTTAGGGTTATGCCTATGGTTACAGGTTAGGATTATGGTTAGGTTTAGGCACATTGGTTTTATTGGGACCCATGTTCTCTATCCTTTGGCCCAAATTTCGTTTGAAATGCTGTCGCGTACGCATGTGACGTCACCCGAAATGTAATAGGCAAACTCCACGACAGATGGCGCTCTCGCTCTGGCCCAATTCTACCACTGCCACAAGCTGATTTCCGTAAGAATTTCTTACGCTTTTTTACTATAAGTTTTCCAGCGACCCCGTTACTCCTGTCCTATGTAATACGGTGTTTACTTATAAAAGCTGCAAAGATAATAAAAGTCGGACCATTATTTCATGAGAAATTTGATAAAATAGTGATACGAAATAGTGCGCCCATTTACTACTTTCAAATAATTACGCTGTTTACTAAACTAAGTTCACATTTCTACGAGGTTAGTTTAGCTCTAGAATACTAGTACTAGAGCTAATTAGTTTATCTAGTACTGCCCCGTGTCCGATCAGACCTGTGGGCGCTGAAACATACGGTGTTTGTTTACGTTTGTTGTACATTGATCGGCCATTGATGGCGTACCAACACCGATTCACTGCATCCGTACTGTGATAATACGGGAAAATGTACGGTTTTTAGCGATTTCACAATAGCCGCAGCTGTTAAAGCGTCGTGCTAATGACGCAAACGTCGAGGGTTGGCAAAATATTTTCCCTCATTTATTTATCGCTGCCGGTTTTCATTATAACGTTTTTTCATTACACCTTCTACCATGTTTGTGCGTCTATCGTATATGCGTCTATCATGCGTCTATCATGCGTCTATCATGTTCGTCTGTTCTAACTACGTGGAATTATGGGATACTAATTTAACTCTGAGTTACTTAACTCGAGATTTAATCCATGTTTATGAAACCCAAATTTAACTCGGAGTTACTTAACTCAGGATTTAATTCATGTTTATGAAACCCAAATTTAACTCGGAGTTTACTAACTCAGAGTTAGTGAGTTTAACTCAGAGTTAGCCTTAACTCAGGGTTAGTTAATTTACGACTGTGGAACCGGGTCCTGTCCAGTAGCTTGTCCGCTGGACAAGCAGCTTTTTAGAGCAACTTTTTAGAGCAATTTTTGGTGCCTAATTTAAACTGTTAGTGAACTGTATTAAAATTACAAAGTAAGATATCGGGAATAAAATTAAAAAAATGTATTACACATTTACTATATTTCTATGTTATTAATCATGACAAGCAAAAATATCTTGTAGCTTGTCCGTCGGACAAGCTAATTTTTTCCTTATTTCTAACACTGTACCCATATGTAAGGGTGATAATTCGAACAAGTAAACACTCGGCTACTAACAGATACCAAGATTAAGGCTCAAGGGGTCGGTTGTCGTATCAGGTACTACAGATATGTACCCGAGGTACTTGAGTAGCTACCTGGCTGATTGAGTAGCTACATGGATGATTGAGTAGCTACCTGGTTGATTGAGTAGCTACATGAATGATTGAGAGGCTACATGGATGGTTGAGTAGCTACATGGATGATTGAGTAGCTATATTGATGATTGAGTAGCTACCTGGTTGATTGAGTAGCTACCTGGTTGATTGAGTAGCTACATGGTTGATTGAGTAGCTACCTGGTTGATTGAGTAGCTACATGGTTGATTGAGTAGCTACATGGATGATTGAGTAGCTACCTGGTTGATTGAGTAGCTACATGGATGATTGAGTAGCTACCTGGTTGATTGAGTAGCTACCTGGTTGATTGAGTAGCTACCTGGCTGAGTAGCTACCTGGTTGATTGAGTAGCTACATGGATGATTGCGTAGCTACCTGGCTGAGTAGCTAAATAAAGTGTAGCTACAGTCAACGTAACGCATAAAATGTTGCGTCGTGTAACGAATATCGTCCAAAATATGAGCCAAATATTTGCATTTTTTCAGTTAATTTACATATAATCAGTCCATTCTATTGCCCCGGTAGATGTCATTGGGCAAGCATAATAGGGTGGGGCAGGTAGTAGCGCTGTAGAGCGGTCCGGTGAGTTACGTGTAAGCATCTGTGTCATGTTGGCATTCTGTTGTCATGTTGGCATTCTGTTGTCATGTTGGCATTGTGTTGCCATGTTGGCATTGTGTTGCCATGTTGGCATGCACACATTCATGCAGTCCTTCCGCAGGAACGCTGAAAACACGCTTGCATGTGTTACGCTGTTAACGCTCTATGGAAGCTAGTTTATTGAAAGGCATCTCGAATTTTCATACGCTCTGATTATTAAAGGAGTATATGGGTATATATAGACTCTCTATTCATCTACTTCTGATTATATTTATATATATAGACGTTAGTGCACACTGCGCACACATGCGCACGTATGCACGCACACGAATACCCAATTATGCAATCCGGAATGCATACAGGAATTCGCAATAATGATTTTATCTACGAGTATACTAATAAGCGCATGCGCATAGAAGCCATCGCTACATGCACTCGAAATCATCTCCAATTGAACTGCATCTATAATGAGATGCTAGTTCAATCGACCTCCACGTACAGAAATACACAAGCAGTCTCACGCATAGTCGGCGGCCGTGCACCCACGAGTCTACTCCTCAATCATGATCAAACTAGAACTAAGACGCATGCACGCAGGCACGCATGCACGCATGCACGCATGCACGCATGCACGCATGCACGCATGCACGCAGACGCGCGCGCTCTCTCTCCGCTCGCAGTTCTCCTAATGCTATATAACATGGACACTGTTCCGAGTGCGACTAGACTACTCAGCCTGACCCGCCGCACATTTGTTAACCATCCGAGAAAATCCGGAACTCCTCGGGAGGAGGGGGGGGGGGCGAAGAAATATCTCGCTAGTCTTCGCATCGCTTTAACAGAATTTAGGTTTTCTGTTTTATACACGAAAACGCGCTCGTCCCTGGTGCAACAGCCGGTGTAACAGCCGGTGGATAAACACAAGAACGTATTAATAAGGTAATAATAATAATAGCGCCTTTTTAATACGCTCTTAATTAAGACCACGTCCCCTCCATAGAACTGGAATAGAATATAGACTCTATGGTAGTTCTATGGTCCCCTCCCACGAATGACAATGTGACACATACGTGTAAATGCACGGCGTCGTAGCGAGGGGACAGCCGCGAATGTCAGACAGCCGCGCATGTCATTTCTAAATTGTCGCCCTACACGATGTGTGCGCATGCGCATAGTGATGCATGGTGTCGGTCGCTACCCAGCTACGAGACTAGAAGAAGCTGTGCGCATGCGCACTGCTCACCACCACGGGTTGAGACATCACGCAGGGCCGTGCGATGCTGAGTGCGGAGTGACGGAGTCAGCAGCAGCAGCAGCAGCAGCAGCCAGTATCCATGCAGTGCGGCGCGGGAGCGGATTAACAAACACCACTGCCGCGAAAAGCTGCGCGCACCAGCCAAAGCATCTCCATCACCGTACTCGCAGCAGCCGAGTCGCTCCGAGCCTTCCCAAACATCGCCGAGCAAACCCAGGCAGCAGCGTCAAGGCAGGCGGCTCCCGGTGGCGACCCCTGGATGTGACACAAACGGAGGCGACCCCTGGATGTGACAATAACGATGACAACGCGACGGAACAGCTGTGAGAATTCTACTGGCATCCCTCGTGAGAGTTAAGAGCTAACACGTCTCCATCGGTCTACCCGCGCTCAGCCGCCTATACGTGACGTTCTGCCGTGCAGATAGCGAGCAGATAGCGTGCAGATAGCGAGCAGATAGCTAGCAGATAGCGAGCAGATAGCGAGCAGATAGCCGTCCCGACTGCAGCGCCACCAGCACGTGCATGGCGGGGAGCTGCAAAGAGCGACACAGATCCGGTGACACACTGAACGCGTGGATCTATCGATGCGACTAGATATCGTGACACTTGTCCCACTCCCGGTTTCCTCAGGGACGTTTCTCTCTACCTTCTCGGAACATGGGACAGGCGGAAGATAGCAGAGGTGGACAGCTGCTAACTGATCTACCGGGACGGGAGTGCGGTGGTGTGCTGGAGAACGACGAAGAGAGGAAGAAGGAGAATCGATAGCAGGCGCTATCCGTACGATCACCTCTGTGATCGCTGCATATATATGCTAGCATCACTGTGAGCCGCGTATCTACCCTAGCAGCGAGCCGCTATCTCGCTCGATAGAGAGACCGATCACTGTGCTGCGATCAACGTAGAGAGAGAAAGAGAGAAGGAGTTGGCGCGAGAGAGAGATAAAGAGAGAGGGAGAGAGATAGAGAGAGAGGGAGAGAGAGAGAGAGAGAGGAGGGAGAGAGGAGAGAGAGAGAGAGAGAGAGAGAGAGAGAGAGAGCGATAGAAAAAGAGAAAGAGAGAAAGAGAGAGAGAGAGAAAGAGAACAATA